ATGCTAAAAGAACCTCTCCTCATATCCCCAAGTCAAGCTTCAATGGAGTCTTTCTTAGGAACTTGAAATTGCTAGAATTCCTGTTGCATCACAAGAGTTTCAGATCGATTTATGGTAAATACAGAAAGAGTAAACCCCCAAAATAATGAAAATCATTGGCTCTAGGTAAAAAAAAAAAAAAAGCAAGTTATGTACGAGGGAAAGCCAAATCATTTATACCATGTGGTAAGAGTGCTGGCAAGGTCATAGAAATAAATGCCAAATATTGATATAATCACATTTTAACGCAAATATTTCCGAAAAGAGACATGAGAGAACTATTGTATGTGGCGAGTTTGGGGAGAGGAAGACATCTAAATTAATAATGAATGTCTGAAATAGAAAAAACGTATTAGTGTCACGAGTATGCTATTCAGAAAAGTGAACATAAATAAAATAATGAGTTAGAAGTTGTAAAATTTGTTGTCTCAAGGGAATGAAAATGAGGAAGGGCAAGGGACTACTATTTTTTGAAAAAAGAAAAAACCACACAGCTCTTTGACCCTTTGAACTACATGTACTTATAATATACAAAGGACAGTGCACTGAGATAAAAGTTAAAATGCATCATTGATTTGAGTGTTTTCTGCATGTAATTAATCATGTTAATTTTATTCTGAGAAATGTTTCCCCACTATGTTTTGATGGCAAATGAAACTAGTGATAGTGAAATACTGTGTTTTATTCATTCAAAACAACAGAATACAGTACATCAAGGAATGTATTTCTATACCCTACAAGAACCAAAAATCCAAGAGTACGTACTAATGCTGGAAAAAGTGTTCTAGACAGGTTGACCATATAACTTATTCTAACAGGGATAATAGGAGATAAACCAGAATTATCCCAGACATTTATTACCCATACTTCCAAACAGACGTTTTCTTCCAGCATCTTACAACATAGTTAGTGCTTTGAATCTGGAAAAACATATGTAAGCCGACCTTGAGGATTTATAAAATTTCCTTATTCTAGAAGCTGTTTTTCTACCTACTGAATCACTAGAAATAAAGAAACTTTTTGAAAAATAAACTTGTTTTTAGTTTTCAGGTAAATGTTTTCAGAGTTCAGAGACCTGGCTGGAAGAATTCTAATGAACAGATTAGTGAAAAAATATACTAACTTACACAAAAGTCCGAAGGTGAAGGTCAATACTTTCTAGATGTTACATTTTAATAGTAAACTAATGATGATAAAATGATGTTACATGTTTAGATTGTCTTACATTTTTAAAAGATATTTTCTTATCACTATTGTGAAAAGAAACTTAACTTCATACTCACAATTTAGCATCTCCAGTTACACTTTATAAACATCTTTATAATATCGTCAATCTTGCTGAAAATTCATATAGGCAGTACAAAATACAGTTCATCATTATAAATCAAGGAGAAGCATTTTGGTTGCAGTGATCTCTAATTACAATGTGGACTCTCCCAATTTAGAAAACTACTGTTGGCCGGGCATGGTGGCTCACTCCTGTAATCCCAGCACTTTGGGAGGCTGAGGAGGGTGGATCATGAGGTCAAGAGATCGAGACCATCCTGGCCAACAGGGTGAAACTTAAAAAATACATCTCTACTTAAAAAATACAAAAATTAGCTAGGGGTGGTGGCATGTGCTTGTAGCCCCAACTACTAGGGAGGCTGAGGCAGGAAAAATGCTTGAACCTGGGAGGCGAAGGTTGCAGTGAGCCGAGATGGCACCACTGCACTCCAGCCTGGCACCTGGTGAAAGAGCGAGACTCTGTCTCAAAGAAAGAAAAAAAAAAAAAAAAACTACCGTCATAAAGCTGTAATTTTTACTTAATACCGTTCTATATAAACCAATGTAACTTGGATGTTCACAATAGAAAAATGCCTACCAAAAGTATTTTTATTTGTCTTTTAAATTGATAGCCCATATATTTTAAGTTTATAAATATAGTATTTTAGTAATAAAACTTAAAACATAAATTGGAGTTTTTACTAAAAATTATATCCTCACCTACCTGCCTTTCATTTTAAGCATGATTACAAGTAAATGAAATTTCTATTTTATTTTCTCAACATATTATACATAAATTCTTTAAAGTTTGAAAGTCTCACTTATAATATAGTTAATGCATAATCATCATGGGTCAGTAAGACATGTTTTTTCCTGACAAAACTGTGTATTCCACAATGATGCTTAACAAATCTACCTACCTTATTATCACAAAGTAATTTCCTTTAATTGGTTACTGTAATATAAATATTAATGGCATTCAAATGTGTGTATATCTGTGTATATATATATATATATAAAACTTAAGAAGTACCTTGCAAAAAATATCTATACTTAAAACATAATTTACTGCAATTCTGATCTTTTATTCTGTGGATCTGTTTTGATCTGTTATCGTAGGTGCAAAAGAGTAGATAGGGAGAAACATAGCAGGGTGAGTTCCGAAACTATCACGAATTAGGGATGATGTCAAAAAGATTACAATGAAAGTGCTTTGGTAAGTAAAGATGTCCAGAGAAAGACAATGAATGAACGGGATTTCATCAGTATTACTCCTGAGGGTATAACAGGAGCATCAGAGGAGGTCAGAGAATTTTCGGGAGGACTTAGGATGGCTCCAAATTCCTGAAAAAAATCCTGCACTCTTAGAGGAAGAATATATAGAGAAGAAAGGACAGAGTAAATAGTTCTCATTGACACTTTGCATAAGAGACCAAAAACACAAAAATACCCAAGGAAAAAGAGACAAGTTCCAAATGTTCTGGAGGCTTTGCAACACTTCAGTGGTTTGCTACAAAAGTCTTCTATGAAGTTCCCAGTGGAAACCACCAGAACGATGGTATCTGACTGCACTGTGCCTTCCACTCCGAGTCATTATTTTCTCTCTTAAAATTGGGTTTATATTTCCCCATCCTACAACTGTAAAAATGTTTTCCTTCTCACATACACCAATCATTGAGAATTTCTTTATCAGAGGTTTCCAGAAAGTAGTATTTTGATTGTCTTTACCATTCAGAAAAGGAAATTGTTTACCTTTTAATTGATGCTAAGCTTGCTTTACCATGCAAACCAATATATTCACCCATGAAAATTTTGATTCATCTGACAGTAGAGTGGTTTCTTGTAAACTGCCTTTCAATTTTGTTACACTAATATATTTTTGGAAACATTTCATGAATCCAGGTATAAAAGGAACTTTAAGCAAACGTAATAAAAATGAGAGTTTACTCTTCTTGCACATACATACATTTCTCAGTACAACTGAGAAATGGTCATTTTTGTTTTTTCACTTCTGAAAATGTTTTCTTTTTGTTGTTGTTGTTAAAAACTCAAAAATTTTCTAACTCATAGAAATGTGGGCACTTACCATTTCTGTAATCCACAAAATAATTGCACTATTTGGCATACATAGTGCTTAAGGCTAAAATCATAAGATAATCACTAGTCAGCTTAAAAGTGTAAACTACATTTTAGAATCTGTCTAGGCAACAGGAGAATTTGGATTTGTTTCATTTAAGATTATCATGAAGTCCACAACAGTGATATTTAAATACAGCCTTCATAATGAATCTTTTCTAGATGGTAGTCTTTAGAAATCTTTAGAGACAAATAATGAATCTTTCAGACATGAATGATCACTGTATTTGATAATGACCATTGTGCTTTCAAGGTGACCATGACAGTTTTATTCAGTTTCACAAATGTTTTTCATTGTTTGCCTATATCCAGAATTTAAACAAGATCAGGTATGGTGTCTAATTGCTTTGACTGTTGGTGAGGTCATTAGGGCTGTCTTCGTTCAAACTGTGAAGGAGAAGTTTCCCTTTGTATTTTTATGTGGTTTGATTCTGTTCTCCTGTTGCCTGTACCCTTCCAATTTCTTTTTTCACTCTCAAATTTCTACCCTACCATCCTATACCACCACTTCCAACTCACACTTTTTCTCTGTGGATAAAAAAGTGACAGTTAGACATGGTGTTATTATATTCAAGTTTCACATAATCATTGAAAAAATAATGCATAAGTTTCTGACCCTTTTGAGAGAACTTACATATTAAAAATAATTCTCAAAAGTAGAAAAAATAAAAAACAGTGTCCAAAACATTAAGTTATTTATTATTGGACTATCTACTACATTTGCTCCTAAGGTTAGACCTGGGATGGTGGCAAGAATTCTATATAGAATGGGAGATAAATATATAGGAGAAGAGTAAGGGAAGAGATTGCCCTCTCACATTTATCTTCCTCTTGACTACTCATTTCTTCTATTGCCAGGTATTTTTCTGGACTATGCTGACAGAGCAGATCCTACAAGTTTGGAGAGAGATTCCTCACTTCCAGAATCCATCCCATATTTCACTTTTCAGTTAGTTAACCAAAAATGTCTTGGTTAATCACTGCAGTCAATAAACTCCCAGCTCTGAGACTCTTCATCTCTCTTTTAACCTTGATCTGAATTTCCCAGTACTGTGCTTTGACCCTGCTCTCAGCTCTAGAAGTAAACCCCTCATTGACTTAAGCCATTCTATCCTTTCTGGTCATGATGTCTATTTGACAATGAAAAAAATAACCAAATTTGTTTGCTCTATTATAGAAGCAAACTCTCTACCAGACAGGAACAAGACGTACAAATTGCCAAGAGTTGGCAGCCATCTTGCCAACACAAGAGGAGAGCCTGCATGAGAGTGAGGCCAAGACCAGGGAAATGGATCCAACACTGTGGAAAGGGATTCAGAAGCTGGTTTATGCCCATACTTAATTACTTATAGACACAACATTTAAGCCCTGGTAAATAGCTCCTGCCCAAAGCTTAATCTCCCCTGGATCATTCTATTACATGATTCAGTAAGTTTCCTGTTGTGTGTAAACAAGTTAGAGTCAGGTTTTCTGAAACACTTCTGTGAAAAATGTTTTTTAGGTAATATTTTTCCTACCAAATGAACTCAATTCAGTCAACTAGTATCTAAGGTAGACCCTGGGTTGTGGAAAGAAATTGCATAAAGATCCATGCATGAGTACATAAGAGTCATTATTAATGCACTCATGTCAAGAATAGGCTTAAACTCTAGTCTTTGGTCTATGAGAGAAGGTTGGGTAGTTGACATAAATATCCTCTCTTGCATCATCCACGGATTGATTGGTAGAGATGGGACTTGTAGAGTTGCTGGGTGCCTAGAAATACAAACAGCAGAGAGTGTCAATAATTCACTGTATTTCAACAACTAATGAAGACATTCAAAACATACCTCTTGTTAATGCAGGCATGACATGGAACAAATTTCCATGATAATTAATTTGATAAAATATTATCCTCATTGTATTGAACTCTGTTAGAAATCACATTCTTGAGTGAGATACAATAGAAACCTAGTCTAGATTACTACTTACTGTATTGTGCTAAGAATTACCTGTTTCAATTGGGAGAGGGAATTCCCTCTCCCAATGTTAAGCTATTTTGATAAGAACTGATATGATTTTTTATATGGAAATTTTAATATAGCCTTTTGCTATACTATCAATTAATGTTTGTTGAATGAATATCTTAATAAATATTTTTAAAGTACACAGTGTTGAACTTTAAAAAATAAGCAACTTAACATATATAAATTAACAAAATTAACTGACATTCACTTTCAGGATGATTTTGTATAATCATTAATCTTCTCTACTGTAATCAAGTCACTTTGATCACATATGTATGCATGTAACAGAAAATATGCAGATGTGAAAAAAGGAAAGACAAGTTGAGAAAGAAAAGAGACTAGAGAAAGGTCTTTTGATGACTAATTTATAATTTTAGATTGACCTTAGTGTTGTTTTTCTTGAGTCAGAGTCTCGCTCTGTCGCCCAAGCTGGAGGGCAGTGGCACGATTTTGGCTCACTGCAACCTCCAGTTCCCAGGTACAAGCAATTCTCCTGCTTCAGCCTCCTGAGTAGCTGGGATTACAGGCATGTACAGTCACGCCTGGCTAATTTTTGTATTTTTAATAGAGACAGAGTTTCACCATGTTGGCCAGGCTAGTCTCAAACTCCTGACCTCAGATGATCCACCTGCCTCAGCCTCCCAAAGAATCAGGATTACAGGTATGAGCCACCATGCTCAACCAGACTTCAGTGTTTTTAAGAAGAAAACAAAATGAAAATGCAAGTGTCATGTTTACTTATACAGGTTATCTTTTAAAAAAGAGAATGAAATAGTTCCAATGTCTTTTTTTGACAGTCCAAACTACTAACTTTTTCATAATCCTTCAAAATATTTTTCTACAAAAGGCTGAAAAAGTTGGATACCTAATATAGACAGTTGCAAAGCTCCCTTTCCTATCCCAAATTCACAACAATAAATGTGACTGGATTGGCATGAGTAGATAAAGTACTAAGGATGAAAAAGGGAATCCCAAAATTGTATATGACAGAATACCAATTTGTTTGCTGAGTGGCTGATGAAACAAAGCAAGGTTTCTTGATTCTGCAGTTGGCACCAAGAAGCAATCTATGTTTTTTTTGCCAAGAAACAAACAAAAAAATTACTCTTACAAAAGTAACTACTTAATAAAAAAAAAAGTTAAACTGATAAATTTTGAAGGCATCTGATGAACACAGGTTGGACTGTCAGAACATTTTTAGCACTTGGATTTGGCCATGTAGACTTCAATTGCACGTAATTAAAATGAAGAGAAATTTATATACTTTTGGAGAGCATTTGAGGAAATTTTTGTCTTAGTTTGGGCCGCTGTCACAAAATACTGTAGACCGCGTTGCTTAAACAACAAATACTTATTCCTCACAGCTCTGGAGATTGGGAAACCCAAGATCAAGAAAATATCTTTCTAACTTGAGGAAAAAAAAAGTCTGGTGAAGGCCTGAGGGCACATTTCTTGGTTTGCAGACAACTGTCTTCTCAGTATCCTCACATTGCAAAGAACAGAAAGAGGAAGCAAGCTCTTCTGTCCTTATAAGCCGCTAATGTCAATCATGAGGATTCTACCCTCATGATCTAATTACATCCTCAAGTCTCTACCTCCCAATATCATCACATTGTGGGTTAGGACTTTAACATATGAATTTTGGGAAGGCACAAATGTTCAATCCATAGAAACTGTTTTGTTTTTTTGGGGTTTTTTTTTTTATTTGTTTTTGAAATTTCATAAACAGAATGCTATGTGTTAGAGAGATCTGAAGTACAGTGGGGATAATGAGCATAAAAATACATATCCCTCTTATCTGCAAACCCAGAAGTTTCTAGTCTGTTAGTTAAACAATAAGGGGAGGAGCAAGGCAGAATAAGGAAGAAACTTTTACAGCTCATCAAACTTCTGCAGCCCATAAGGAAATAAAGAAGTTCTTTGGCTGGATAACCTAAGTATACATTAATTAATAACTTAACTTCAAAGATAATGATAATAATGAGTATCATGCAATATGTTCTTCTATGCGCTTGCTATGTTTCTGGGTCTTTTATGCATTTTAACCATCACAATAACCTTATGACACAAAAATATTACGTCTTCTCCTGGGTTGGATACTGTCCTCTGCAAATTCCTCCTCAGAATGTCATAATGTGACCTCATTTGAAAATAGGATCCTTGCAGATATAATTAGTTAAGCTCAAACAATACTGTGCTGAAGAAGAGTGGGCCTTTAAGTCCAAGATGACTGGGGTCTTCATGAAGAAAAGAAGGAAGACAGACACATACACAGGTGAGAACATCATGTGATGAGAGAGGCAGAGATTAGAGAGATGTATCCACCAGCCAAGGATTGACAGTGCCGCTAGAAGCTGGACAGAAGCATGGGATGGATTCTCATCCCACAACGAAACCAGTCCTTCTGACACTGTTTTATCCTTCAGCCCTCTAGTATCGTGGGAAAATAGATTTCTGTTGTTTAAAGTCACCCAGTTTCGGGAATGTGTCACAGCAACCCTAGAAAAGGAACAAAGATTTAGGGAAGGCATAGTGTTGATTGTTATTACATCAGGGTAATTGTTCCTTTATTTATATTCACATTAAAAAAACTTAGTTTCAGAGGGCAGTAAAAATAGAATAGTTCAGAAAATAACTTTCTCCAAATAGCTGATATTTAAATTGCAGGCAACTGCATAGTCAGGTTACGAAAAGGACAATAAAATATAAGATTGCTAACTGCAAAAGACTGATTCTGCATTTGTAAATTACAAAAGAATAAAATGACAAGTTCTTTATAAACTTACCTTCTTCGTTGTATCCCAGGACTCTGTAAATAAATCTCTTCTCTCTCTCCTTCTCCTTCTTCTGGAATGCATATTCAATAAAGGATATAAAGATATGATATTCCAGCACTATACTCTATACTTCACTGCACCCCTAGCCTACACCCACTTTCTAATATATTAAAGTAGCTTTATGCACATTTATCCAAAATTCTGTTAACCTACACTTTTTTTCCCTGTCTTCTCCAAAGTTCTCCCAGATGATGAGGGCAACTAAATGGATATCTAACCACTGTGCATTAGTAATTAATCTCAGCAGCTTTACTAAGAATGATTTATAGTGAGTTACTACATAAATGGCTTGTGGCCTTCTCCAAATAACCTCAGATTTAAGACAGTTTCCACAATTAAAATTTATTTTAAATGCCAACAGTGTAACTTCTTAAATGACAATAATATTATGAAGCTTTATAAAAGTTTCTGGGTGTCATTCTAAATCACTTGTATGGATTATTTTATTAAATCACTTACATAGATTCTTTTATTAATATTTCATCAAAACTTTATATTTAACAGGTTTGGAAACTAAGGTATGAAGAGGAAAAGTAATTTGCCCGAAATCACATGATTAGTTAGTGGTAGTATTGGAATTTAAATCCATCACCCTCCCTCTTGACTATTAAGCTCTACAACTTCTGAAATCACTTCACTGTAGCTGAAAAGACCATCTGCAACCACAGGATTCAATAAACTCTCCACGGTTCCAATAAAATAAAAAATTAGTTCAATCATTGTGGAAGACAGTGTGGTGATTCCTCAAAGACCTAGAGACAGAAACACCATTCGCCCCACCAATCCCATTACTGGGTATATGCCCAAAGGAATATAAATCATTCTATTTTAAGACACATGCACGTGTATGTTCATTGCATCACTATTCATGATAGCAAGACGTGGAATCAACCTAAATATTCATCAATGATAAACTGGATAAAGAAAATATGATATACATATAACACAGAATACTATGCAGCCATAAAAAGAAATGAGATCATGTCCTTTGCAGGGACATGGATAGAGCTGGAGGCCATTGTCCTTAGCAAACTAGTGCAGGAACAGAAAACCACATGTTCTCACCTGCAAGTGGAAGCTAAATGATGAGAACGCATGGGCACATAGAAGAGAAAAACACACACTGGAGCCTACTGAAGGGCTGAGGATGGAGGGATGAGAGGATCAGAAAAAAATAACTATTGGGTACAAGGCTTCATACCTGGGTGATGAAATAATCTGTACAACAAATCCCATGACACATACGTACCTATGTAACTAACCTGCACATCTTGCACATGTATCCTTGAACTTAAAATAAATGTTAAGAAAATAAAAATGAAAATAAAAAAGTAAAGAGAGTAAACATATCACAGTTAGATTTATGTTGACCAGCCATTCCAGTTTGCCTGGGACTAAGGAGTTTCCCAGGATAAGAGATTTCAGTGGTGAAATGGGAAAAACAAAGCTCCCTATTCATTGTTAATGCCGATATTCACAACGAATATAAAATAAGTATCCAAGATTTTTCTCCCTAAATATTATTTTGTACACTCAGCTGTACACCTATAGAACATATTTTGGCACTTTTCTGTTTGTTTGTTTTTCAGACAGAGTCTCACTCTTGTCACCCAGGCTGGAATGCAGTGGTGCAATCTCAGCTCACTGCAACCTCCACCTCCTGGGTTCAAGCGATTCTCCTGTGTCAGCCTCCTGAGTAGCTGAGACTGCAGAAGCCTGCCATCACGCCCAGCTTATTTTTGTGTTTTTAGTAGAAACGGGGTTTCATCATGTTGGCCAGGCTGGTCTCAAACTCCTGACCTCAAATGATCCACCCACCTCAGCTTCCCAAAGTGCTGGGATTACAGGCGTGAGCCACTGCGCCTGGCCATATTTTGGCTCCTTTCACATTTGCCAATGAGAGGCCCTTTCCCTAGCCATAGCCACTTACTCGTGTTACTGTTGCTATCTCTGCATGAAAACAGCAAACCAGGAGCAGAGAAGCTGCTGACAATTCCTCCAACACACAGTCTACAAGGCGCTGAGGAGCCTGTGTGCGGGAGGAACTGGCAGCGGCTTCTCTGCTGAAGAATTCACTTTTGTTCAGGGACACTGTCTGATTTATGTTGACTTCTGTCCAAGTCAATGCATCTGATGCCGCAGGATTATTTTAAACAGTTGGTAAAACGGAGTTCAGAAGGTCATTGTTGGAGCCCCTGGGTCATCTTTCAAAGCATTTCCATTTGAAGTAACAACCACAAACTGATACTAGTGACAAGGTAGAAAGAATAATTGCTTTTTCCCTTGTGGTGTGCGTCCATGATTACAAATTCAAGTCTACTAATCTCCGTTTATCACATTTAACCAAGTGGGACAATATATTCTACCATTCAATTTAGCTATTCATGTAAAAGTGATGCATTTTCATGAAGCAAAATCTATCCTGTCCAGCATCTGTGACCCTGTGGAGGTTTGTCGCCACTCGCTGTCTCTTAGTCACATTGCCCGGTTCCTGTGTGCTCCCTCTGCCGTCTCTGCCCCTAGGATGTTTCCCATTGCCAAGGTGAAGCAGTAGAGGAGTCTGTGGTGCCACTAACACCTTGGTTCCTTACTTCCATTTGCAAATTTCTGGTCAGGGAAAGACTTAAGGGCAGTCTGTGATGGGGAAAAAGGTAAAATGACCTGATGTCATAGTTCAGTTTAATTAGACAATATTTATTGAGTATTGATTATTTGGTCAGAATAGTGCTAAATGCTATCAAATACTAAAAATATGAATAAAACACAAACTCTGCCATTATGAATAGAAAGAATGGCAAGCATGAAAGTGATTAAAATACAACGCAGGATGTGAGGAGTAGCAGAGAAGTACACAATGATTCCAGATGGTGACATCATGTCTATTTGCAGGGACAGAGAACAGTGCAGAGCTCACAGAGGGGACAGGTGTTTCACACCTTGCATGATACACAGGAATGCAGCCAAATGTGGGGAAACAGCATTTTCGTAGCAAACCAGATGGGGAGAGCCTTGGGTGTGCTGCAGTTTTCACAAAATTTATCAACATCAGGGAGAATACATTAAGGAGAAAGCGGGAATAAAAATTAGGTTTCAGTCAGAATGCAGGGCAACTTCAATGACAGGTTAATGAGTTTTAACATTATTCTGGTAGATAATCAAAGATATTGAACAAGAGGATAACATGCCAACCCAGCTTTCAGAAGAAGAACAAGGGAAACTGGATGGGTTAGAGAAAAAAACTATAGCTGAGAACAGGTTGGAGACATTACCAAAAAAGGGAGCAGTGATGACAGCTGCCAAAGAGCCAGAGGTAAAGGTCAAGGATGAAGAGACAAGATGGAGAGACCTACTTGGAAATCCTATTTACAAGGAGCGTGTGTGTGTGTGTGTGTGTGTGTGTGTGTGTGTGTGTGTGTGTGCGCGCGCGCGTTAGTATGGTGTATTTAGTAATATTACTGAAGGAGAAGAGTACAGATGGACACACTCACTTACCCAGCAAACATATATTGTCTATGATATGCCAGACATGCAAAATACAGACGTCAAAACTGTGGTCCCTTCCTCCCTTAAGAAGATAACACTTTAGTTGTAATACACTATAAGGAATAATTTCAACCTGCTATGATTACAGCAAAGATATGCAACAAATACCTATGTACGTGAGTTGATAAGTACAGCAGAGCTGGAAGGTGAAGAAAAACCTCAATCAAGAATATCCTGGAAAATTCCCAACTGTACCAGCAGACAGTAAAAGATTTTTTTTTAATTTTCAATTTTTGAAATTGACAGGGTCTTGCTATGTTGCCTAGGATGGACTTGAACTCTTGGGCTCAAGCAATCTTCCAGCCTCAGCCTCCTGAGTAGCTGGAACTTCGGGCACATGTATCTGTGACCAACCAATAAAACACAAAAAACTTTAGTATAAGCCAATGGCTTCCTGCTCTCTCTAAGGCAGCACCCTCCAATTTCTTCTTCTTAGTAATTTTTAGGCATCTAGATTGCTTGGTTCTGAGAATATACAACCATTTGAAATTATGTTGTTTGCTTATTAGGATGTGAGCTTCACTATGTCTTGTTCACTGCTATGCACAATAAATATTTGATGAATGAATCAATGAAGGCTTTATCACTGTTAACCCTTGCTCTTCCCCTTCTCAGAATCTGTATCCATCTCATGCTGCATCATCCATGCACACACACACCATCCCCTCACCGACAGCTTTTTCCTCGGAGGAGGAGAAAGCAGGGCAGGATACAGAGCAGAGGCACAGGCAGAATATAAAAGGGCCAGACCAGCATCTTCTACGAATTCTTAAGTGAACTATTCCCGCTTTCTCTGTAACATTACCACAACTATGTCTCCTCCTTCATGTTAGAACGATACTCTCAAAAATATTAAGTGTGAATGCTGAGACAGCTTGACAAATTATTGGGTTATTAATAGAGAACCTCTAACATCAGAATTACTCATGCTGAACAAGATTCAGGATAAGCTGCTCTACTCACCGGTTAAGGAAAATGACGATGATGGTGGTAATTGAAATAACAAAGAACAACAGTAAAACTGTCCCTCCAGCCACGTAGGGAATATATTGGTTATCGGTTTTACCTAGGAGAAAAAAAAAATGTAGGAATTAGGAATTCAACCAAAAGCAGTAAAAAGTAAGGCAGGAAAATAAAGAAAAGATACATTAAATATTGAGTAACAAAAAGACTCCAACAAAAAGATACAATAAGCTACAGGAAAAAGAGAGTTTTTGTTTTAGAGTCTCCTAAATGTTGCTGACTCGTAATAGATTTTTATTTGTTTCTCAGTTAAGCTGGGTGTTACACCTTAAGAAGAACAAAAGTATAAAGAGCATGCATTTACCAAAGACCTCATTCAAATAAGCTGCTGATCATTTATACAAAATCTTTTTTAGAACAAAATAATGATTAAAATAGTAAATAGGCCGGGTGTCGTGGCTCACGCCTATAATTCCAGCACTTTGGGAGGTTTGGGCTGGTGGATCACTTGAGATCAGGAGTTTGAGACCAGCATGGGCAACATGGTAAACCCCCATCTCTACTAAAAATACAAAAATTATCCCAGTGTGGTGGCACATGCCTGTAATTTCAGCTACTCAGTAGGCTGAAGCACAAGACTCATTTGAACCCAGGAGGCAGAGGTTGCAGTGCGCTGAGATCATGCCACTGCACTCTAGCCTGGGCAATAGAGAGGGACTCTGTCTTAAAAAAAAAAAAAGTAAATAAACAAAGATTATCTTTTATGCCTGATGTAGTAAATACACTCAACATAGAACAGAATATAACTTTGATGTTTATAAATTTTTTAAAAAGATACTTTTGTATTCAATGTGGTAATGATTTTAAAAATCAGAAAAAAATTGTTACTCCAACTCAATGTCTGAAAATTTATCATGGTCCAGTAATCTGAAGTCCTCATCCTAAATCTCTTACAATTTATCTGATTGACTCCAGCAAATTCCTTACCGTATATGTGTCATCTCTTCATTTGTCAACTGATGGCAATGACAGTAGCCCTAATTATGTCACAAAATTGTGCTGAGACTCTGATGACTCAATTTTCAAAAGAACAATCAACTACCATTAGAGAAATGTCCCCTCTGGAGTGTGAGCCCAGTGAAATCAGAGAACATTTTATCCCTTTATTAAAAAAAATTTTGTTAATTAAACTTTAAGTTCCGGGATACAGTACAGGTTTGCTACATAGGTATACATGTGCTATGATGGTTTGCTGCACCCATCAATCCAACATCTACAGTAGTTATTTCTCCTAGTGCTATCCCTGCTCTTGGCTCCCACCCCACAGCTGGCCACAGTGTGTGATGTTCCCCTCCCTGTGTCCACGTGTTTTCATTGTTCAACTTCCACTTACCAGTGATAATACACAGTGCTTGGTTTTCTGTTCCTGTGTTAGTTTGCTGAGAATGATGTTTCCAGCTTCATCCATGTCCCTGCAAAGGACATGAACTCATCCTTTTTTATGGCTGCATAGTATTCTACAGTGTACATGTGCCACATTTTCTTTATCCAGTCTTTCATTGATGAGTATTTGGGTTGGTTCCAAGTCTTTGTTATTGTGAATAGTGCTGCAATAAACATATGTCTCCATGTGTCCTTTATAGTAAAATGACTTATAAACCTTTGGGTATATGCCCAGTAATAGGATTGCTGGACCAAATGGCATTTCTGGTTCAAGATCCTTGAAGAATCACCATACTCTCTTCTATAGTGGATGAACTAACTTACACTCCCACCAACAGTGTAAAAGTGTTCCCGTTTCTCCACATTCTCTCTAGCATCTGTTGTTTCCCAACTTCTTTTTTTTTTTTTTTTTTTTTTTTTTTTTTTTGAGACAGAGTTTCACTTGTTACCCAGGCTGGAGTGCAATGATGCGATCTCGGCTCACCGCAACCTCCACCTCCTGGGTTAAAACAATTCTCCTGCCTCAGCCTCCCAAGCAGCTGGGACTACAGGTGGGCGCCACCAGGCCCAACTAATTTTTTTTGTATTTTTAGTAGAAACAGGGTTTCACCATGTTGACCAGGATGGTCTCGACCTCTTGACCTTGTGATCCACCTGCCTCAGCCTCCCAAAGTGCTGGGATTATAGGCATGAGCCACTGCGCCCAGCTCCTAACTTTTTAATGATCACCATTCTAACTGGCATGAGATGGTATCTCATGCTTTTGATTTGCATTTCTCTAATGACTAAGGATGATGAGCTTTTTTTCATGTATTTGTTGCCCACATAAATGTCTTCTTTTGAGAAGTATCTGTTCATATCCTTTGCCCACTTTTTTATGGGGTTGCTTGTTTTTTTCTCGTAAATTTGTTCCAGTTCCTTGTAGATTCTGGATATTAGCTCTTTGTCAGATGGATAGATTTAAAACTTTCATCCCATTCTGTAGGTTGCCTGTTAACTCTGATGATAGTTTCTTTTGCTGGGCAAAAGCCCTTTAGTTTAATTAGGTCCCATTTGTCAATTTTGGCCTTTGTTGCCAGTGCTTTTGGTGTTTTAGTCATGAAGTTTTTGTCCATGCCTATGTCCTGAATGGTAGTGCCTAGGTTTTCTTCTAGAGTTTTTATGGTTTTAGATCTTACATGTAAGTCTTTAATCCATCTTAACTTTTGTTTAAGGTGTAAGAAAGGAGTCCAGTTTCAGTTTTCTGCATATGGCTAGCCAGTTTTCCTAACATCATTTATTAAATAGGGAATCCTTTCCCCATTGCTTGTTTTTGTCAGGTTTGTCAAAGATCAGATGGTTGCAGGTATGTGGTGTTATTTCTGAAGCCTCTGCTTGTTCCACTGGTCTATATATCTGTTTTGATTATTGTAGCCTTATAATATAGTTTGAAGTCAGGTAGCAGGATACCTCCAGCTTTGTTCTTTTTGCTTAGGATTGTCTTGGCTATATGGACTCCTTTTTGGTTCCATATGAAACTTAAAATAGTTTTTATTAATTCTGTGAAGGAAGTCAATGGTTGCTTGATGGGAAGAGCATTGAATCTATAAATTACTTTGGCAGTATAGCCATTTTCATGACATTTATTCTTCCTATCCATGAGCATGGAATGTTTCTCCATTTGTTTGTGTCCTCTCTTATTTCCTTAAACAGGACCTCCTTGAAGAGGTCCTTCACATCCCTTGTGAGTTGTATTCCTAGGTATCTTATTCTCTTTGCAGCAATTGTGAATGGGAGTTCACCCATTATTTGGCTATTATTGGTGTATAGGAATGCTTGTGATTTTTGCACACTGATTTTCTATCCTGACACTTTGCTGAAGTTACTTACCAGCTTATGGAGATTTGGGGTTGAGACGACGGGATTTTCTAAATACACAATCATATCATCTGCAAGACAGACAATTTGAGACAAGTTGACTTCTTCTCTTCCTATTTGAATACCTTTAATTTTTTTCACTTGCCTAATTGCCCTGGCCAGAACTTCCAATACTATGTTTAATAGGAGTGGTGAGAGAGGGCATCCTTGTCTTGTGCTGGTTTTCAAAATGAATGCTTCCAGCTTTTGCCCATTCAGTATGATATTGGCTATGGGTTTGTCATAAATAGCACTTATTGTTTTAAGATATGTTCCATCAGTATCTAGTTTATTGAGAACTTTTAGTATAAAGGGATGCTGAATTTTATTTAAGGCCTTTTCTGCATCTATTGAGATAATCATGTCGTTTTGTCATTGGTTCTCTTTATGTGATGGATTATGTTTATTGATTTGTGTATGCTGAACCAATCTTGCATCCCAGGGATGAAGCTGACAACCATGGTGGATAAGCTTTTTGATGTGCTGCATGATTCAGTTTGCTAGTATTTTATTGAGGATTTTCACATCGATGCTCATCAGGGATATTGACCTGAAACTTTGTTTAATTGTGTCTCTACCACGTTTTGGTATCAGGATGATGCTGGTCTCATAAAATGATGTAGGGAGAAGTCTCCCTTTTTCTGTTGTTTGGAATAGTTTCAGAAGGAATGATACCAGCTCCTCTTTGTACCTCTGGTAGAATTCAGCTGTGAATTTGTCTAGTCCTGGGCATTTTTTTTCTGGTTCATAGGCTATTAATTACTGCCTCAATTTCAGAACTTGTTATTGGTCTATTCAGCGACTCAACTTCTTCCTCGTTTAGTCTTGGGCAGGTGTATGTATCCAGGAATTTATCTATTTCTTCTAGATTTTCTACTTTATTTGCATAGAGGTGTTTACAGTATTCTCTGATGGTAGTTTGTATTTCCTGTATTTGCTATATTGTTTGTAGTGATTTATAAAGGGTGATCAGTAGTGATCTCCCTTTAATCATTTTTTATTGCAATTCTTCTCTCTTTTCTTACTAGTGTGGCTAGTGGTCTATTTTGTTAATCTTTTCAAAAAATCAGCTCCTGGATTTACTGATTTTTTGGAAGGGTTTTTTGTGCCTCTATCTCCTTCGGTTCTGCTCTGATTTTAGTTATTTCTCATCTTCTGCTAGCTTTTGAATTTTTTGCTCTTGCTTCTCTAGTTCTTCTAATTGTGATGTTAGGGTGTTGATTTTAGATCTTTCCCACTTTCTCCTGTGGGCATTTAGTGCTATAAATTTCCCTCTAAACACTGCTTTAGTTGTGTCCCAGAGATGCTGGTACATAGTATCTTTGTTCTCATTAATTTCAACTAATTTATTTATTTCTGCCTTAATTTCATTATTTACCCAGTAGTCATGCAGGAGCAAGTTATTCAGTTTCCATGTAGTTGTGCAGTTTTGAGTGAGTTTCTTAATCCTGAATTCTAGTTTGGTTGCATTGTGGTCTGTGAGACTGTTTGTTATGATTTCTGTTCTCTTGCATTTGCTGAGGAATGTTTTGCTTCCAATTATGTGGTCAATTTTAGAATAAGTGCAATGTGGTGCTGAGAAGAATGTATATTCTGTTGATTTGGGGTGGAGAGTTCTGTAGACGTCTATTAGGTCTGCTTGGTCCAGAGCTGAGTTCAGGTCTTGAATATCCTTGTTAACTTTCTGTTTCATTGATCTAATATTGACAGTGGGGTGTTAAAGTCTCCCACAATTATTACACTATAATTGTGTAGGAGTCTAGG